TTGAACATTAGATCTTAGTATTATCTATCAGCAGTCCAATATAAATTCTTCAATAAAATTTCTTTCCACTTTCGGATCAACATACATAGTAGGGGTATTCGAACTTGTATTGTGTTACTGGAGCAGAATTCTGCTTAAGATTCTACTTGTATTTTGAAATAGCTAATCCACTGTTTACTTATTGGATTTTTTAAATTCTGAATTCTGCTTGGTAGGCATTCTGCAGCCTCTCTTTTAATTAGGTGTAAAACTTCAAAATAATTTTCGTTTGCATTAAAAAAAACATCTTATATATCTGCCTTTTTTTTGTACTAGACATATTATTCATTTTTATCTATTTAGATTATAATGTTTATCATGTCGAAGTTACAACTTCGATCAAAGAAACATTGTCGATGTTACTTCAATTGAACTAAATACTAAAAAAATTGATGAAACGCCTAGCTACAAGTAAAAACGAAGACAAAATTATGGCGAAAAAATAGTTTGAGATCGAAAAAGTGTATTGCAAACTTTTGGTTTTCTTCTACTGTGGTCAAAATATGTGGTATGCTGCCAAAAAATAGATCCGAGTGTTTTAATATTAAAGAAAAGAAATCCTTATCACACTAGCCGATCGCATTTTAAGGTTACAGGTTGCTCATATTGTTCTATTTTCCACTTTGGCGATGACGTTTGCCTAGTATGTTTTTCGTTGTAATTAATTTTACTGAAAGAATTTATATTGGACTGCTGATAGATAATACTAAGATCTAATGTTCAAAATTTCAGTTAAGTGAAATCTTTGTTCAGCTCTGTGGGGAAGTCTGGCTCTGTTAATCGTTTCACTTGTCGTTCGATTGAAATAATTTAGATAGGAAATATGCACTAATGACTTCTTTTACTTCAACGTCGGAAAAAGATTTTCTAAATTATGTTTCAGAGCAATCAAATTAACCTTTTAAACTTCTGGAGTGTTGAATTCTAAGAGAACCTTGCTATTATCGTACCACAGAGTATATATAAGCTAAAAAAATCCTTTACTTTTTTCTACTGAAAAATCACCCTACAAAATTTGGTAGCATTATATATTTCTACTTTACATATAATATATGATCTACTTAAAATTTCAAGACAAATCAACATCAATAAAAAAAAAACTACTCAAAAACCATAAGTCTAAAGATCTTTTCTATTTTTGTTGGAGCCTTGTTATGAGAAACTATATTTCAATTGAGAACATTAATCAACTCCACAACTTCCTAGGTTAGATTAGACCTCAACTAAAGTTAAACATAACTTAATATATTAGTTCATTATTCTCACCTCTTTCCATTTTTTTGTAATTCTAGGATTTTTTAAGAGCTCTATTTAATTTTGTTTAAATGTCAACTTTATCTGACACATCCCATGCCAGTATGATGATACGCTACGGACACATGTGTTGACACAAAAATTACTCAAGGCTTAGAATAACGAAACATTGCAAAGATAATATTTTGTTATTCTAAGACTTGAATAAGTTTCATGTCATTTTGTGTCAACACATGTGCCGGTAGTGTGTCATATCGGCATGGGATGTTTATATTAGACTATTTATGAAAAGTTCCGAGATTTGCTAGCATCCTCTAGCAAGAAACAAAAGTCTCTTGAGTATCGACCAAGAAACATATGACTTTATGCAAAAAATATCGAAAATCCGAAACAATGCTATATTCTTTAACTAATTGTTTCTTTTCTTGACAATATTTACGACCAATAGTGTTCTCAACAAAATAATTACTTTGAACACATATTATAGAAGTATTCATTGAAAATTTATCAGCATCAACGTCCTTCAAATGATGGACTGACCAGATAATAGTTGACATTTTAATCAGATAGAAAATATTTATTCAGTCGTGAAATATATAGTCTAAATAAAATCAATAAAAAAACCCTCCGACGATTTTGAATTGAAAAATTTAGAAATGTTGATATTAGCGTTATAATAAATTATATATTGTCAATGGAAAAGTGAGATTATCCTGTTATTTGTTCCAAAAAAAACTGAATCAAGAAAAATTTCACTAGTGGTATAATAAAATACTCTTTGTGGTCTATCGTTTGAGAGATAAACCGATTAACACAGACGTATATAGAAATCATTACTCACCAAACACAGTATGTGTTGTTTTCGTTCTTAAAAGTGATTGTATAATTTAGTTTTCTGTACAAAAGTTTTCAGACGTATTGTGCTAAAATCTACTTTAGTTCCCAGCATTGTCATGATGATTATTATCGAAATATATATATTTATTAGATATTTTGATAGCTATAAAAAAAACTAACACACATCCAATTAGAAACTTTGACAACTCTTGTCGTACGTTTGTTCGCATCATCGACGGTATAACACGCTACGATGGCAGTAAGGGGATATCTAACTGTTTAACTGTTAAATTATTACTGGTTGATTGCCGATATACTTCAGGTTTTTCGTCACTTCCCACAAATACAATTGGTTAACTATCAGTATGGTGCACATTATTGCAAACTGTGTACCGACGATTTTTGTTCGGATCCAACCGCATGAGTAATAAATAAATGATTTGAACATGTTTGTGAATTTTTCTTTTCAAAAAAATGGAGAACGAACATCGATAATGACAGAGAAATAAAAAGAAAAACAACATCAAAAATTAATTCGATAAACTAATATCATATTACAGCATGCATTCATTCTTTGGTTGGAACGTATAGTTCGAATTCCAAAGTAATTATAATTTAAAATCTAATAGTTTTCGGTTTCTCATGCAGGTAGATAAAATAATTCTCTGTGACGGAAGAAATGAAAAAGGGTTTTATAGGGCTAACAGCTAATTACTAAATAGCTTATTTCGTTCCATAATCTACGATCATGTAGACAATATTTTTCTGTCATGGCTGATTAAAGTATAATAACGTTCGTAGTTTTAGCGTTTGATAATGTGAATTTAAATTGGCAAATTATTCTTTTCTAGTCATGACTGATAAAGTACTGTCAGCAGTAGGTAATGCGGGTGTTGTTTCAATTTGTTGATTTGTGAATTGGCATAATGATTGATTTGGATGTTTAATAAATTTTAATATATGAGCAAGTTCTTTGCGATAAACACTTCCAGAAAGCACGTATAGAAAAAATGAAACAAAGTAATCACATTGTTGCCACATGAATAATATATTTCGTACGGCTCTATTATTAGGTGTTCTTGTTGATGGATCAAATGCATTCATACTGTAAATAACACCAAATGGGATGGTAAGAACTAGATGAACACTAATTTGAAGAAGTAACATTCGTGTTAATTGCTTTTCAGTTCGACGTCCACGTACAACATCTAATTGAGGTCCTATACGAGTGATATGTTGCCGAGTATTGGATATAGTCAATAGACCAAATATAATCATTAACAGATGTAATGAAACATAATAAATAATTATTTGACTGAATACATAAATACTGATCAGAAGATTTGAGTATTGCATACATATACCAGATGGTTCTTTCAAATAGTACATAGCCAACATGGGTGATATATAGATAATGCATAATATTGTAGTAATAATAATCAATAATCTTCCTCTTCGTACTGTACTTGTTGAGCGAAGTCGAGGTGATTGAGAACTTGAACAGTAACGATCAAATGATGCTAATACAAGCATTACTCTTGCTAAAAGTGGTGTTAAGAATGCAAAATACGTATGCATTTTGCATCCGATTGGAGTATTTACCCAATCAATGGAAAAGCCACGCGCAAAATTTAATGGGCATACCAAAGTAGTATATATAATACAAAAGACGGCACATGCGATGAAGTAGTGTGTACATGGTGATGAACGAAGTGCACGAGAACTTAATACATATATATTAAGTGTATTTGCAATAACTGAAAGACAGAATAGCACAGGTTGAAGATAAACATTCACTTGAAGTACTTTCTCGAATAATTGACTCATATCTAATTGAAATCAATTGAAAATAAGTAGACTTGATAATATGTCATACCTGCTTCTCTTCTGTCGCAGATCAGTTTCCACCTACAAAAATGAATGAATGAATGTTCTTTTCGCCTGTAAATTATGCTCAAAGAAAAATTTGTCTTACTGCTTTCAAATGAATGAAATATGTATAAAAGCATTCTTTTCATGAATCATACCATATGTGATGTTGGAATTATTCCTTCTGATAGACATGAAAATTATTAATTATAATTATCTGTATAAAAGAAGTGTAAATGGCTTCTGCATAACTTCACAGAGCTAATATAGATGATTAACATTAAGAACTTTTAGTTTTTCATTGATAAAAAAAAATGATAGAATATATTCTTGCAATTATGAAAGAAACTGATGACTATAACATGTGCATTAAAGAAATAATGATAATAAAGAAATCTGAGTTGTTTTTTTTCTCTTCTTTTCCACATATCGGGTGAGTCATAATAACTGCGACATCCTGTAGAATCAAGATTATGCGATTTAGCTTTGCTGAGATATTGGCAAAGTATTGGACGTTGCCAGCATGATGACTCACTCGATTTAATTGTTTTCTTCTGAATACTATTATATTGTATCACGTTGCATTTCTTTCTTGAAACATTCACAATGAAGTTTAGAATTCGAATTAGTTAATCATAATAAAATGTTCCCTAAAACATGCATAGAAAGACTAAACCATAATAATCACACTAAGTGTTTATGTACAAAGATTAAACGAATTTCTATCATAGTTGACATTGTAGGGTAGGGCAAAGAGAAAATGAACACAAATTTCAAGAAACAACATTTGAGTCAATTGTTTTCCCGTACTATGGCTACTTCATGTTGCAGTATGATCAACTAAAGCATTCTTATGTCGATAGATATTTTATACAGTCAGTAAAACATATCAATAACCGTATACTTGTGGTAATATAATATAAAAAACAATTTGGCAACAGATGTAGATAATGATCACGAAATGTGTGAGATTTTTGAGAAACAAGTGTCGGACATAAATATCATCACAATATCTACAGTAATTTTCTTGTTTTTTTTTCATTTCAAAATGTTACGCAGCTACGAAAATGCTTAAAAGGATAAAAACTTTCAGCCGGCGACAAATTATAGATCAGCTAACATTTCTACATTGGTGACATATGTATACTTTATGTCATACTGTACAACGACAATAGTTACTTTGACTTTTCAAATTGCTCTTCTCGAATGAAGCTAAAATAAGCATTAAATTAGCTTGAAATGCAATGACAAAGAAAACAAAGGCATGCATTTTACACTCAATATTAGTATTCATCAAATCGAAAGAAAAATCACGTAAAAATCGTGTTGGACATATCAAACACGTATAAATATGCTCATAGTAGAATAACTCATATAATAATAGTACAAGTATTTTTTTAAATTTATATAGTTTGTATGTATGTGTTGCTTTAAAAATGGATTTTGAAAATCTAAATATATGCAGAAAGTTTTTCATAATACATAATGATAATAAAGACATTAGTAAATTGCTATCATATAAATATATCAGAGAAAATAAATAATTAATAACAAATAAGATATTATCTGTCATAGATGACAGAACGGTTCTACCCCTACCGTAAACAAGAATTTTCATAAAAACAAAAGAAGAACGATGAAAAGTATTATACGAAACATAGGGACAAGAACGACAGCAATATTTTGAATCATGATTAAAGATTGTTTTTGTATTTTAGTATCACTTTGAAGATAAATCTACTCATATTTTTGCATTCAGTGACTTTTTTTAATTTCCTTTTTGTATCATTATGTACGTTGATGCGTACATAGAAAAAAAAATTATACGGAAACTATATCAATCAATGCATTAAGTCTTATGTTTTTTGTTACTAATGAATGAATATAAATGTTCATTTTCTTTCAAAATAAACGATATTAATGATTATTTAACTAATTAGAAAAAAAACCAAGAATTTATTAAATACAAAAATTTTGAAATATTTACATCACAAAATAATGAATACCATCAGCTTATGATATTTTCTCTTACACCTAGCAATCTTTATTCTACTAGAATAGGGCAATATCAGGAGTAGAAACAATAAGGATGAAATTTTAAGCTGTTACTGCGAGAACTTTTTCACTACCCTATATAATAGACTTTTTTTCTTGTATACGTTTCATGATCAAGGGGGAAAAAGCGGATCCTGGTAGATCCTGGGATCCATTAGGATCCGCCAGGATCCATAGGATCCATCAGGATCCATTAGGATCCATTAGGATCCATTAGGATCCATTAGGATCCATTAGGATCCATTAGGATCCATCAGGATCCACCAGAATCCATTAGAACTCATTATCATTTATGAAGATAGATTAATGTTCTGAATACCCACAAAATCAATGAAATCAACCAGATTCATAAAATAAGG